AACCAAATTAATCTAACAATTAACTAATAATAAGTCTCTAATTACTAAGCCCAGAATCGACCACCATGTCCAACGGGTGCTATAATACACCAAACCTCCCCATTCTTCAACCCGGATCGATGTAAAAGAAGTTTCCCCATTTTTTTATCGATGACAATGGGCGGACGCTGGTGCAGCCTGTGCTTGCGATATTTCCAATTGCGCTCAACCAATTGCACAAAGCTCCTATCACCGAGGCAGCGGTGGGTGTAGTGGCGGTAGATAGCTCGGGTAGCCAAGGGCTCGACGAGGAACTCGTAGTTTGTGCCCATAGCGGCGGCGCGCGTGTAATACCCTTGATGTTTCATGAAAATCGACATAGCTACTTTAGCGCCAACTTGACTCTGATTCCAATTGGCGTGTGCTTGGAATTCAGGTGTTGTGAGCTATTCCTATGCCTCCATCATCTTAGCTAATGACAACGTGAATGCTACACATCATGGAAGAGGGATCTACCGCACAAGAAAGAAACAAGTAGACTCAAATTTCACATGGCTGCCTATATGCTCTATCTCTCATTCTGATTCCCTGAACTAGATGCATAAACGACTGTCAAGAACAAGTGATCAATCCAAGTCACAGTTGGTAAGCAAACAGTTGAAAAACTGAACCCCTACACAACTCTACTGCACGTCTGAGTCATCATTATAGGCTGTCCTACTCACAATCCAGTTGTCATGCATCAAGTCTAACAACCATTTGATTCACCAAATAAACCACAGTGCCAATATGATCATGCAAACATCAGTACTTGGAGCCCTCAAATCTCGAGATTTGGACAACAAACTAGGCTCAAAACATACACATATACGTTCCAATAAAGACAAAGCACCCCCCCCCCCCCCACACACACACTTAAGTTCAACATTGCCCTCATTGGAGCAGAGGGAAGGGGAACGATGTTACGAGGAAATGATGAGCGGGAACGGTGACTGGAAGGCAGACCAGTCAAGAGCAGTAGATTGGAAGTGGGCTAGTCCAATTGGCACAGAGCTAGAGTCATGAAAACACACACACTGGGTGATAGAACCAAAGTTCCAAGTGGAAACCGAAAACAAACAAAATAAAAACAAACCGTGGTGGGGTTGCCTCCCAACAAGTGCTTCTTTTACGTCTGAGCCGGACGATGGCTCCTAAGTTTGGGTCCACCCCAAAACCTCCTTGAAGTTGATGATCTCATTAATGAGGTGGAGTCTCAAGTCACGAGCATGTGATGTGATAGGTGATGAAGATGGCTCGTGGCCTTGAGGAATATAAAGTTTCCACTCTCGAGACCTCTCCTTCACGTCTGCTCTTGTCTCATTGCCCCAAACCAAATAAGATATATTCGATTGACCACCATCGCATCCACCAAGAGCGATTGATGTTGATGTGGTCTTGGTCTGGCATAGAGAATTGCAAATGGGTCCTTGCCAAGCAGATCCTCAAAGTTTGATGGAGATATCACATGTAACATAGGGCCGGTGCAAGCCTCTTCCACCTCAACTTCATCCTCAGCCTGGACGCCAATTGCTTCCTCAACCCCCCTTCCTTCTTCAAAATGTGGACTCTCCCCTTGGAAAAGATCAAGAACTACCTCTTCTTTGCTTTCTTCATCATCCTCCACAACTTCTTTCCTCACCCTTGCTCTCTCTTCTTCTTCCCGAACAGATTGGAGAGCAAGTCGCCAAGCAATTTCTTCACTGGGATCATCTTGCATCTCCCCGGCAACTGCGCCAAAAACTTGACTCGCTATGACACAACTCCTAACAAAGGCCAAGTGTGACCAATGAAAGGGATCATCTTGCAACCTGTGAAACCTACGCCTAAACCAAACCACCTAAACCAAATAAGCTAAATTGTTTAACCAAACCAATTTTCCAAATCAACCGAATGCTACTGGTTAATATGGTTACCACAGTAACCAATCTGTTTGAACACTCCTAGGGATGGCATTGTTTTTAGAGATTTATTCATGTTAGACGATCACTATTAAGCAGCCCATGTATTTTGTATCTATCATGTATTTTGTATGTATCATTATGTTTAGTGGACTTGAACCATAGTGAGCCCACGTGAGTCTTGCATGGTAACGCGGACTTACCCTAGACCACATATGATTGATGACATGGGATAGATTAGGGTGATCACCCTAGCCCACATATCGCTCCTCTCCAAAGAGGCCTCGGCAGAGGTGCTACCAGATCGTCAACAGAGCCGTCTTCTGCAGATTTTGAGCCGCCTTAATCCGGCTTTTAAATTCGTTCGGCCCAGCCTGCTTAATCGTTAAAACCTTCCATTTGATGGAGTGCTCGGCCAACTGCTTCGAGAGAAGACACGTCTCCGTACCCAATCCCAGCTTGTCATTCGTCTTGGTGAGGGCTAATCCATCCTTGTTGTTGCTACTTCTAAGGAATCAATGGTTGTCGTGTTTGTTGTTGAGAGAACACAATGCATATGTTTGGCCCGACTTTTAGAAGTGTTTTTCGACTTAAAAAGCTGAAGCAGGGCAAAACACCTCTAAACACTCGGCTTTTCGCGCTTTTGTATAACGTAAAAGCAGAAGGTCCAATTTGGAGTTTCTGCGAAAAAACTATTTTGAAAATACAAGATTATCCTTACCATATTTTAATTTTATTTCAGAAAATATAATTTTCTTTCATTTATATCATTTTAAAAAAAAATTAATTATAAAATCATATTATTTAATATAAAAGAAATCTAACAAGATCCATTTTTACTACTTTTTATAGTCATTTTACACAACCGCTCATATTAAAAAGCACTTCTAATAGTTTTACAGCCAAACACTAAACTGCTTTTTTTGAAAAGTACTTATCTAAAAGCTCAAGCCAGAAGATGCTTCTGCAAAAACTACAGCAGGGCCAAACTAAACTAATATCAGCAACTCATTGTCGTGGTAGAGCTTTAATGCCATCATTGCCGAGATAAGAGCCATTTGCAAATACGTTGCCGCCTGGCCAGCATCCCATGGACCAGCCTGCCTATGCAGCTCCGATAGTTGAGTTTGAGTATGTACCTTCTCCACCTCGCGCTCAGAAGCTTCCCGTTGCTCAACCACCTGCCCAACCACTAACAACGGTCTATGTCGAGCGTCTCGTCAACTCGGCACTTCAACTGTCCCTTCCCAATGCTATCTGTGAGTGTATTGGATATTTGGAATTCTCTTTTTGTTCATCCCAACTCTGCTCATCTTTTAAATATTAAAAAAAAAATTGTGGTAGTCATACTGGTATTCGTTTGCCCCAGCATCATCGCCCTAGTTATGTTGATGCCAAAACAACGAGCAACGCTTTTCAATCGCGCACTACTGTTATTTCTGAACCCTTTGTTATTGTTCATATGAATATCCGTCTCCTGTTGTTTCTTGACATGGTTTTCGCTATTTTGCCCTGTTTATTGAGCATGCAACTCGATTTAGATGGGCTTATTTCCTCCGCTTAAAATGATATTTATTATTGGTTGCCAAAGAATTTTTAACAATGATTTCGACTCAATTTGGGCGCCCTTAAAAATTATTCGTTCTGATCCAAGTGGTGAATTTAGTTCTCACCCATTGTTGCTTGATATGTATAACTCGCTCGGCATCCTTTGTAAAATATCACATCTTGAGGTCTCTCAACAAAATGGGTTGGTAGAGCGCAAGAAACGTCATGTTGTAGAGCTCACTCGAGCTTTACTTTTGGCCTCGCACGTTCTCTCGCATTTCTTTTCTGAAGTAGTCGCTACAGCGTTTTGGTTAATTGACTACAACAATTTTGGGATGTCCTGGCGAAATTTTAATTTGTCATTTTAGGTTTGTCACAATAGAACCTATAATATGACAGAAATAAAATTTGTCATATTAGTTGTGTTTTTTTTACAAAGAAATATTTTGTCATAATAATTCGTCATATTAGACCCATATTGAGACAAATTTAAATGATGTCATAATATTTTGTCATATTACATATTTATTATGACAAATCGTGTATGTCATTGTAAGTTTGTCACAATATTGTTCTCGCACTTTATTTAAGTAACATAATTTTAGTAATGTGACAAAGTTTGATTAGTCAAAATAGGGGTGCTTTTATTCTTTTCCATTTTATGTTCAGATAATGAAAGTGAGTGAGAGAGAGAGAGAGAGGAAATAGGGTGCGGGAACTAATTCCCTCCAGTGCTCCAAAACCAGATCCACTCCCAAATTTTGCCCCAAAAATTGAAACCCGCCGCTCAAAAAACCCACTGTCAATTAAAACCAGTATGTCTTCGCCATCGCATCGAATCCTCCCCGCAGCAGCGAGCAAGCGCATCTCTTCATAATCGAGTAAGACGACTGTACTCTCTTCGATCACCCTCTTCCACTTCTGTCGCATCGTTTTCAGCTGATTGAGAGAAGCTTTCGTTGGGGATTTTTTGGGGGAGTTTAGGTGTTTGCCTATTATAAGACAATTTTGTTGGGGATTTGGTTGATTTTGATAAATGGAATCCCTACATGTGCTCTTGCATGCGTAACTCAGAGATTGGAAATTTAGTTTCTGAATTCAATTGCAACCTAAGGGTTTTTTGGGGTTTATCGTTTCCTTAAGACGATTGTACTGATCTAAGAACACTATTCTCTGAGTTATCAGTAGTTCTTTGATTTCTGTAAGCTGCGTAGGGATGCTAAGTTATCTGGTTTATGTTTTGTGGACGTTGTTGTAAGCTGTGGGTTTCTACTTTGTGGATCTTGTTGTTATGGTTCTGGTGTGTTTGGTTCTGTTCACTACGTCGACCCTGTTAGAGAAGGTTTGATTGCTTCGGTGTTGTGATTGCTTTGCTATTGCTATTTCGACATCCTTAGGGGAACATTTGAGATTTATTCTCCTGTTTTCATTTTGCCGGTGCTTGCTCAAGTGAAGTTATAAGGTCAACCTGCATTTTGTGATCCAAGAATCGTCCCAAGGCACAGGTTAGCCTAATTTATGCACACAGACTAAATGGATAGGGGTTGGTTGAAGCACGAGAATCGATTTTCTGCTAATTATGTGAAGGGTGTTGAGTACTTTGTAGGGGTTTCCAAAGCATGTGTTGATGGTAGTGGTAGAATTAGGTGTCCGTGCAGAAAATGCAACAATTGTTGCTTTAAAACAATAGATCTTGTGAAAGCTGACTTGTTCCTCAATGGGATGGTAGAGGATTATAGTTTGTTGATATATCATAGAGAGGACTCTGATATTGGTGGTAGCGGGGAAACTGATAATTTAGAGGACACTGGTCATAATGATATGCATGGTTTTGACATTGAAATGCCTTCCATGTTGAATGATTTGAGCCGAGCTAATGCTGCTAGGTTTGGCACATCAGGTTCTGAATCTATGAATGAGGGTTTTGGGGGAGTGAATCAGGATCCAGCCTTAGCTAAACTACTAAAAGATGCTAACTGTCCTCTTTATCCTGGGTGTAAGAAATTTTCAAAGTTGTCCTTCATTATGAAAATGATGAATAACAAAATGTTTACCAATAGTAGCGACAAAGCATTTAAGCTGAATTTGGATCTAATTAAGGAAGCTTTACCAAATGGAGAGAATCTCCCTAATTCGTATTATGAGGTGAAGAGGTACATTCATGACCTCGGGTTTGGTTATACCATTATAGATGCATGGCCTAACAACTGTGCCTTATTCCGAGGTCCTTTCCAGAACGAAAAGACGTGTCCCAAGTGTAAGAAATCTAGGTATAAACCAGGCATTGGGAAGGATATTCCCATTAAAACAACTAGGTATTTCCCTATAAAGGATAGGCTACTTAGGCTGTTCATGACAAAGGAGCCAAGGACATGAGGTGGCACAAAGAAAAATGAATTAATGAAGATGTGCTTAGGCATCCAACGGATGCAGAAACATGGAAATTTTTTGATAGGGACCAATGTTGGTTTGCTTTCGATCCTAGAAATGTGCGGCTTGCACTTCTTAGTGATGGTTTTAATCCATTTGGGAACTTCAGTTCTAGTTATAGGATGTGGCTGGTTGTGTTAACACCTTACAATTTACCTCCATGGTTATGTATGATGGAGTCTTTTCTGTTTCGAAGTGTGCTAATACCTGGAAAGAAATCTCCAAGTGATAACATTCATGTGTATTTAGAACCACTATTGAAGCTTTACAAGAATTATGGACGGATGGGGTGACAGCTTATGATACATATTCTCAACAAACTTTTCAATTACATGCTGCCTTGTTATGGACCATAAATGATTTTCTTGCTTATGGAATGTTGTGTGGTTGGGGTACTAACAGAAAACTAGCATGTCCTGTTTGCAATATTGAGACAGACTCCCTTCGTTTGAAATTTGGTAACAAAGAATGTTACATGGGTCATCGTAGATGGTTAGAAACTGATCACCCCTGGAGGAGAAGTAGGAAATTCAATGGAAAGGCAGATTTGAGAGAGAAGCCTAAAATTCTATGTGGTTCAGAAATACTCAACCAATTGAATTTAGCTTTAAATTCAAATGAAATGCCTAATCTGAATCGCAAAAGGAAACGAAATCCCTCTACCCCTAATCATAACTGGAAAACGAAAGCCTCATTCTGGAGGTTGCTCTATTGGGAAAAGATTGAGTTGAGGCATAACTTAGATGTTATGCATGTAGAGAAGAACATTAGTGAGAATTTTTTGGGAACATTGATGCATATCGAGAGGAAAACAAAAGATAGCCTGAATGCTAGATTGGATTTAGAGAGATTGGGTATTAGAAAGGAGCTTTGGGTTAATAGCGATGGCGTCAAACCATCTTTACCGCATGCCTGTTACTCCCTAACCACTGCCAACCAAATTCAGTTGTGTAACTGGCTACAAATCGTTAAGTTTCCGGATGCTTATGCGTCCAATATCTCTCGATGTGTCACCAGTGATGGGAAATTTGTTTCTGGAATGAAAAGCCACGACCATCATGTCTTCTTACAACGACTCTTACCAGCTGTGGGACAAGGGTTGTTGAAGAAAGAGGTCTATGTAATTCTGTCCGAGTTAAGTCTATTTTTTCAAGATTTGTGTGCTAAAACCATAACAAAGGCTACACTGAAAAAAGATGAAAACGAACATAGTTCTCACACTTTGTAAGATTGAGATGGTATATCCACCATCTTTCTTTGTCGTCATGATGCATCTAGCCATTCATCTTGGCATGGATCAGTAGGTTCTCTGAAAAATCTTGTCAGAGTATGCCAAGTTCATGACGGATCTCCTCACCAACAAAAGGAAGCTTGGGGAGCTGTCAACGGTGATGCTCAACGAGGAGTGTTCTGCCATCCTACAGAACAAACTACTAGAGAAGCGAAAAGACCCAGGGAGTTTTACTATCCCTTGCATGATTGGTAGTTTGCATATAGGGAAGTCCTTGGCGGATTTAGGCGCTAGCATAAATGTCATGCCATATAAACTATTTAAAAAGCTAGGCCTAGGTGAACCCAGTGATACTAGGATGAGCATTCAACTTGCTGATAGATCCATTGTGCATCCAAGGGGCATTGCAGAGGACTTGATAGTCGCAGTAGGGCCATTCTCATATCCTGTTGATTTTTTGATTTTGGACATAAATGAGGATGTGGATGTGCCTTTAATATTGGGTAGACCTTTTCTCGCCACCGCCAAGGCGCTCATTGATGTGAATGATGGGAAATTGATTTTGCGAGCTGGGGGTGAACAAATCACCTTCTCTATTTCTGATAATGTGAAACACCCCCAGCTCCATGATGATCTAGACTATTGTGATGTTGTTGATGATTTTTAGACCGCACTCGCCATCACGAGTGCGGGTACTGACGATTTCCTTGAGCGTTGTCTTTTGCTAGGGGAACAGTCATCATAGGATGTGCAGCTGGAGGAGCAGCTCGCGGAGTTAGACGAGGCCGCGATCGAGGTGCGAGAGATACCATTCAAGCCGATCCCTATCTCGCCCCGGATCACTACATCATTGGAGGATCCGCCAGAGCTGGAGCTTAATCCCCTCCCCTCTCACATGGAGTATGCATTTCTCCGGGAGGGGAATAAGCTCACGGTCATTATCAGCTCGGATCTGACACCCGAGCAGAAGAGCAAGCTGGTGGCTCTGCTGCAGAAGTATGCCCGGGCCATGGCATGGAAGATCACAGATATCAGAGGCATTAACCCATCCTTCTGCTCCCACAGAATTCTGATGGAGGATGAGGTTAAGCCAGTCAGGCAGACACAACGGAGATTGTCTCCCAACTTGGAGGCAGTGGTCCGGGCAGAGATTATGAAGCTCATATATACAGGGATCATCTTTGCTATATCTAATAGCAGGTGGGTCAGCCCCACTCAGGTGGTCCCGAAGAAAGGCGGGATGACTGTGGTCCCGAATGAGAAGAAAGAGTTGATCCCGATGCGGACCGTGGCCGGCTGTAGAGTCTGCGACGATTACCGGTGCCTGAATGATGCTACCAGGAAAGACCATTTTCCCCTACCCTTCATTGATCAGAGGTTGGCTGGCCATGATTTTTATTGCTTCTTGGATGGCATGTCTGGTTATTTCCAGATTCCTATCGCATCAGAGGATCAGGCGAAGACCACATTCACTTGCCCCTTCGGTACTTTTACTTATCGGAGGATTCCATTCGGGGTGTGTAACGCACCGGCGACCTTCCAGAGATGCATGTTGGCAATCTTCGACCGACTGGTCGGAGAGATCATGGAGGTCTTCATGGATGACTTCTCGGTTTATGGAGTCTCCTTTACTCATTGTCTCCATAACCTGGAACTCGTTCGGAAGAGGTGCGAGGAGACTAATCTGGCACTCAGCTAGGAGAAGTGCCATTTTATGGTCCATGAGAGGATTGTGCTCGGGCACAAGATCTCCAAGCAGAGGATTGAGGTGGATCACACGAAGATTGAGACGATGATTCAACTACCTCCTCCCGTTTCTGTGAAGGGGATCCGCAACTTCCTGGGGCATGCAGGCTTCTACCGGTGCTTCATTAAAGATTTCTCGAAGATTGCCCTTCCTCTGACCAAGCTGCTGGAGAAGGATGCACCATTCCAGTTCAATCCTGAGTGCACTGCGGCATTCGAGACGTTGAAGGAGAAGCTTACCCATGCACCCATCATGTGTCTCCTTACTGGTCTCTCTCCTTTGAGCTGATGTGCGATGCGAGTGACTATGCAGTCGGAGCCGTTTTGAGTCAGAAACGCGGGAAGAACTTCCAGCCCATCTACTACGCGTCAAAGACCTTGAACGACGCACAAGAGAATTACACCACTGAGAAGGAGCTCCTTGCTGTGCTGTATGCATTTGATAAGTTCCGACCATATCAGGTGTTGTCTCATGTGGTGGTCTACACTGACCACTCGACAATTCTCTACCTGATGAGCAAGGCTAATGCAAAACCTAGACTCATCCGCTGAATCCTGCTTCTGTAGGAATTCGATATAGAGATCCGGGACAAGAAGCGAGCTGAGAATGTTGCTGCAAATCATCTTTCACGGTTGGAAGTCCCTCCGGTGGACAACTTCGTGGAGGAGATCGATGACTCCTTCCCGGGTGAGCGATTGATGGCGATGACATTGGTGGACAACGTGGCCCCTTGGTATTCTGACTTTGCCAATTATCTGGTGGGCAAGTAGTTACCAAAGGGGATGGCCACTCATGCAAAGCGCAAGTTCTTCTCCGACCTGAAACATTACTTCTTGGAGGATCCTTACCTCTTCAGGATCGGAGCAGATGGCGTGATCCGGCCGCTGCCAAAGGTCAGGTAACATTTTTTCCCGAGATGAGATGCCCCAACATATTTCTGTCATTTGTGATATTTTTGATGTTTGGGGCATCGATTTCATGGGCCCATTCCCTCCATCGTTTGGAAATTTGTACATACTGGTTGCAGTGGACTACGTCTCGAGGTGGGCAGAAGCTCAAGCCATGCCCACCAATGATGCAAGACGGGTCTGCTCATTTCTGAAGCAGCTGTTCTCCCAGTTCGAGACACCTCGCGCCATCATTAGTGATAAAGGAACCCATTTTCAAGGGCAATTCACTAAACACCTCTCTCGCTATGGTGTTAAGCATCAGATGTGTCGGTGGCTTACCATCCCCAGTCATTGAAAAGATGGTGGATCAGTCCCGCAAGGATTAGTCCACCAAGCTCGATGATGCTCTTTGGGCATATAGGACAGCCTATAAGAACTCGATTGACACTTCCCCCTATAGGCTTGTTGATCGGAAGGCGTGTCATTTGCCAGTAGAGCTAGATAACAAGGCCTTCTGGGCCCTTAAGCTGCAGCTGCTGGAGTTGGAGGAATGACATTACCACGGCTACGAAAACACCCTGATCTACAAAGAGCAAACCAAGCGTCTCCATGACTCTCGACTAAGGAGCCCGAAAGATTTTCAGGTAGGTGATCGCGTTCTGCTCTTCAGTGCAAGCCTGAAATTCTTCCTGGGCAAGCTACGTTCGAGGTGGTAGGGACCCTTCACGGTCACCCAAGTTTTCCCGCACGGTGCGGTGGAGATCAGCAATGCTCAAACTGAGCCATTCAAGGTGAATGTCCACCTCCTAATGTTGTACTTGGGAGGTGCTGTCGAGCGAGCAGAGCTGCTGATCAAGCTCGAGGACGGTAAAAAAGCGCTTGTGGGGAGGAAACCCCACCACGGTTTGGATTTTTGTCTTTTTTTACTTTTCATTTTTTGTCGGTTTTTGAGTCTTTGAGTCTGTCTGGAGTCTTTATGGAATGTTTTTTGTGCGCCGAATGGTCTGTTCTTGTCTATGGTAGTGTCTATTTTCGAGCCGGGGCACGAATGGTTTTCGCTGTTCGAAATTACTGTTTA